TATGCATAGAGCTAAATTTTCTCGGCAATCTGTTCACCGCGGCAAAAGTGACCAGTTTTCTAATGTGATGAGAAATATAATATGTTTTGTACTAAAAACAACCTAGGACCCCATAAAACATTCATTTACAACCAAAACAAATGTTGTTTTTTCATGGAGCCAAGTAAGAAGTAGTTGAAGAACAGACAAATTGGCTTATAGTCTATGTAGATATTTTTAGATTTTTTAACATTTTTAATGAAACATATATTTAAAATAATAGAAAAGAATTTCAGTAAAATCACTTTAACATATAAAGTCGAGCGTTTGACACTATCACGGTATCATTATCAGTATTATTATCCTATCTCTATTTGTTGTGTTAATTGGGGAACGAGAAAATAAGGGGATATTTCTTATCGCATATGCATATTGTTCTGTTCTGTTTCTTTTCTATCGATACACCGAGATTGAAAGAAAGGTCTGCACATGGGCTATCTTATGTAGAAAGAGATATCTTCTTGTTTGCCAGTCAAACTTAAAATTGAAGTATGTCCTTTGACATTACAAGAGCGTAGATGAGACTCGCACACTTTTTAATTACCGATGCCAGCTCGCTGCTAAGGATACGTCATTCAATCCATTCCTTAGGGCGAGGTTCCAAAGACGTTCGATTCGGGCTTGATCGATAGAGAACCGGTACTAAAAATGTGATTTTTCATGATAAAACAAACTATGCTCTTAGTTTCTACTGTCTCAGCAAATGACATACATAATTATTTATGTACATAATTATGTCAACGTGACTGTACAGTCACGTTAATAATACCTCATTTGCTAAGACAGAATATTTATCCACTTCACCGCGTAAAGGTGGCATGGTTGATATGATTATATTGTACACCTTATCATTCTATAAATTGATCAACAAAAGCATTATTAACCACTTTTCATCATGTATCTCTTTTTTTGTTCGACCTAGAAAGTAATAGCTGTGTACAGTCTCTTTTTCGCCTTTTTTTTTCCGGTTAACTATAAGAGATAAGAATGGAATAGAGGAAGGAAAGAGAAGTTGGAATTTATCATTCGTTTCATGCATGTACAAAACATGATCGGCAGAGTCAAGAGGAAAAACAATAAGACGATGTTGAGGCACTTTTGAAAATGATCATGTTATGTATTTATGAATCATTTATCACACAGCAGGTAAAAAACGCATAAAAAGAGGAAAGCAAACTACACTTCCTTTCTTGTGGCAATGGTTCTCCATAACACAATTTTGTTTTTCTTTCCTTGTTCTAATAACATGTGAGTATATATCATCACAGATTTTGTAGACCGCATGTCAAACCTAGAAAAAATTTATCTCACACATAATCGACTAAACACAAAAGTATCATTTTTCGACAAAAACATTGTATGTAAACATTGAGTATTGTCTATAGAACTAATTGAGAAAATTGCAAAAGTTCTTAAAATAAAATAAATATTTTTCAAATTTTTGCTTAGTACTGAAATCTACATATCGAGTCGAAATAGATTTGGCTGGAGTTTTTTTTTTGCAGACGAGTTGAAAAAAAATCTTTTTTGCAAGTTACTTATAAGCATAAGGACATGGCTAATTCAAAAATATCTCTGCTCAGGTCTTTTCCGTTACCGAGATAAGAGACATTATTTCCTAAAAACTGACTCTTGTTTATTACAAGATTTTTTGGTGAAATTGATTACTTATGCAGCTATAACTTTATACTTAAATTTTCTGGCAACTGTAATTGTTGGCGTCTTCCATAGGTGGAAAGAGCGCCCAAATTCTGTACTTTTTCCATTTTTAACCGTGTTAGACTTTTTACCAATGAAAACTAAGCTCGTACCTAGCAACATGTCTCTACACTATACTCGAGCTACTTATTATTCATAAAGGTATGATTATAAGTAATCGACAGAAAAAGTGCTATTTTACGGATAATGCCTCCTATCTCGGTAACGGAAAAGACCTGAGCAGAGATATTTTTGAATTAGTCATGTCCTTATGTTTATAAGTAACTTGCAAAAAAGATTTTTCTTCACCTTGTCTGCAAAAAACTCTAGCCAAATCTATTTCGACTCGATATGAACCTATAACGATAATGTGAAAAGATTTTTCTTGATAGGGTAGAATATTAAAATAGGATGCTTTGCACGTTTAATAGAGCAAATTTGATAAAGTAAACCTCGCAGTTAGTCAGTGTTTTTCATTAGTAGCGCGCCATATTTTTGTATGATTAATTTCAACAGGTTTATTAATTGTACTTTTTTCCTGTTTCACATTGTTAAAAATTAAAAAATTTTTTTGTTACTTAAGTTTTAGTGTTATAACTTCTGTACTATAAGTTTATAAATAATTTCTGGTAAAGTTGAATGAGTGCATTATGACCTTAATATGAGTAATATATATATATATATGTATATATACACCATCATCCTCATACATGTTCTCTCTATATATTTCTTTTTTTTTTTCTCTTTCTTTCCTCTTCAACCTGGTGTGGATGAAAGGAATAAACAACTATCTTTTCTCATCTTTCAAAAACAGTTTAACACACATGTATTCGGACATTAATTACTATCCTAGATACTTACAAGTAAATTTACTCTGGAAAAAAGACAAGTGCCGGCTGCTTTCGGAGTACTTGTCCCAAGTATTTGGGCACAAGTACGTTCTCTAGGGCAGTGAATAGATATTTCTTTTCAGATAAATTCTCAAGTCAATTTTTGGAATTGAATGGATAACGGTAAACGTCAACGGTTAGGAGAAGATCAAAACCCAATGATACAAATGGCCAAAAAACAAAAACAAGAAGATAAAGACGAGTGGAGTAGAGCAATGAGAACTCGATCAAACATTGGCAAGGTATATTTTCTCTCTCAGTTTTTGGCTAAAATATATAAAAATTCTGTTATAGGGACAGCAGTTATCACATTACTTGACGAAAGAGCATCAGCTTTATTTGATACTACTAATACGTTATTTTTCGATATGTATCATAAGAAAAATTGGTGGAAATCAAGAATTAGCACTACCATTAACTACGTGTTCATGTCAAGAAAATATAATCGCACATTCATCAAGTAGAAGGATTACCAGTAAACAAGAGGAAAGTAGTAATTTAAAAGCTCAAATCAAACAACAACCAGCGACTGATGGAAGCCTTGTATGGAAAATAATAGATGTTAACGATAAACTAAATGCTGCTCGATCAGGTCAACAACCATATCTTCATTCACCACCTTTTTTCTCATCACCCACTGGCTATAAAATGTGTGCTCGTCTATACTTAAATGGTGATGGTAATCAATCTCAGGGGAAATATATTTCGTTATTTTTTATGTTAATGCCGTGGTGAATTTGATGCTATTCTTCGCTGGCCATTTAATTTTACAATCAAATTTTGTCTCATTTCGCAATCAGATGAACAACTAAACATTGATGAAATATTCCATCCAGATTCAAAAAATCCAAATATTTGTGGTAAACCTTGTTTTGATACAAATGAGCCTATTGGTATACCTCAGTTTTACCCATTAGATTTATTGCGACAAAAATATATAAAGGATGATACTCTTCCTTAAAATAAATATGGAGTTTAATGAAATATTTCAAATACGCTTTCCAATAATCTTACCACTACTACCGCATACATCTTCATCTATTGTTGTCACTGATGAAATACGGCAATCTACACCTGATGATAATATGGAATCTCGACTATGCATAACCTAATGCACCACTTTATTCAATTCATCAACAAAACAAAACTAGTCATATAAATATTGCTTCCGCAATTCATTTTTTCTCATTTTTCAGCATATAGCAATCAATTCTTTTCTTTTTTCTACATAGTAATTTTTTCTTCAATATATATAACATATAACCTTTATTCTTTGTCTTTCGTTACATTCTACATAATCTAATCGCTCAGCTGTGCTGATATAAGCAATATTTTTTTGAAAATGTTTTTATTTTGTTATTTTATTGATGGTATCATCCAGAGTTTTGTTTTTTATTTCTGTTTGTTTCATTCTTCCATTTTTATTTGCGTTTACAAACAATCGAATTTTTATATATTCATTATTATTATGTGTACTCCATCGATCTGTGGTAAAATAAAAAATGTTAAACACAAACTGATGATGATTCACTAGGTTTTCAATCCTAATTAGGGTTTTTCATTGTTTTCTTCAGAAATGAAGGGGAAAATTGCATAGTCCGGCTAAACTGTCGAAATCTTTGTCATCAGTCAAGCACTAGGTTTCTTGTAAATGAAAACCTAAAATATACATTTCGTATCACTTTCTCTGTTATCGATGGTGGATCTGACGATGATTCCGGCTATGCTACTTTCACTCATACATCATCACTACCGCCGATCGGCTCACAGGAAATGTTCCATCAGGTTTCGGTAGCAACTGCAGTGAATCGTATATGCTTTTCTGACAGCTCTCGTCAACCGCAGTCATGATTCCTGAGAACTGGTTATATTAGTTTTACAAAAAACGGATAAAAAATGATGATCCTCCGACAACTGCGGTTATTTAATGAAGAACCGACCAAAACTGGCACTTTTTCGGTGCTCTGCCGGCGAAAAGCGGTCCGTTATTCGCATGAACCGGCGTGACCCATGTATAAAATAAAAACACGCGCGGCTACCCGTGCAGTTTAGCGGGTATACATTCGTATAATTTTCGTTACCGTTACCTTTCAGAGTGAAGTCGCGGGAACGTACCACGTCTACTTGCAACTACTGCTAAATCGTCCCGCACCAGATGCATAACCCAAGACATCGGCCGATTTGAATTATAGGAAATATGTAAATTGAGCTGATGCGATGCACTACTAGTTGAATCGGCTGATATATACTATTAGGTGCATTGCCCGATGCATGGAATAAAAAGTCGATATTGGATTTATAACTAAACGGATCGCCTTAATCGGGTGTATCTAGCTGCATCATCCAGTATCCCGATTCAGCTTTTGATACTTCTTGTGTATGCCGATACATTTTTCACGTATGGAAATCTAAAAGAGTGATGACAAAACTTTTTAACTCCAACTCTTACCGTCCAGAAGTTTTCTAAAGTTTAAAATTAGAAAACCTCCTTCACTATGTGGCGCTTCCTTTTTTCATATGCTTCAAGCTCGACCTCTCGGGTTGATTTTACACTTTGGGCTACGTCTCGATGTGCTCATGTCAAAATCGATCTTTTTGACCGAAAATCATTATTTCAGAAGGACGATTCCTTTAACATGATTAGTATTATAAAAAATAAATTATGTACGTCATTGCATTGATCATACTTGATTAAAGGTGCTCTGCTATCGGAGACATCATTTGAGGCAACGTGTAACTGTACAAGGCAAGTCCTTCAAAAAGTTTTTTTATCGGCACCGATACGCATGTATGCGGAATGGTATTTTTAGTTTGGCACGGATGTGCACCCCCTTTTTTACTTCTCATAAGAGAAGTGCTACAGCAGTGCCGCACGATTACAGCATGCCAGTTTAGTACTAGTAAATACCAGTACTGTACTTTAATTGACGCAAAATTGTCTGCACGGGTGTCAATCAGCACTGATTCAGCACTTGCTGGGTACGGGTGCACACCGGTGCCAGCCAGTGTCAGTGACCAATGGCATGCCGTGCGCACCAGTGCACACTGGCAGTGCTGCACTGGAATTTTTTTTGTAGGGAGAGCCACCCTAATATTGAATAGTTTTCATGGGTCTGTCTGATTCAGGAAAACGTGCTATTAATCATATACTGTGTACACTGAGGTGTACACCATCCATCACTATCGAACAGAATTTTTAATTGTCCGCTATTTTTCAATGTGAGTGAGGACATGCCCTGTTATTTTAAAGTAGGTAATAGCTGTTCAGTAAATGTGTTGAATTGTTTGTACGATACATTACTCAGGTCAATTTCCTTGAAGAACGGCGTAATTATTTGTTGTACCGAGTTAAATGCACAGAGGAGATCAAATGAATTTAAATAGAAGAAAATCAGTAGCCATAGTTCATCTGGTAATATTCCGCAGCGGCAGTAGTAAGAGGCATTTCCATACTACTCGAGAGTTGAAGAGATTCTCTTTTAAATCTCGAAAAATTTGAGACAGAACAGTGCAAATTCCTGCGAATTTAGAAGAGCTAATAAAAAGTATCTAGAGGAAATTTTATAGAGCAGCTGACGAGCTTTCTTTTGCTAAAAAAGTTTTTTTCAAAACCCTTTACTTTGTTTATAACACACAATTTACTAAAGTAACGCTATGACACACTTTTTCTCGCTTGCGTATTCTCACTAGCTAGAATCCGACTGAATAGACTTTCTAGGTCTCGAGGTAGATATTTTTTCGGCCTTCACAACTGAAATCCGTGTTCGGCGTCTTCCGCAAACCTTTAACCCGGGCTAAACCCATATCTATCGCTTCTGGTTCATCTGATTGCATTAATTCAAATTTACTTACAGTGGAGGCACTTGGCCACTAGCATTGAGAGCATGCTATCTCAACTACTAGTGTTTCTCCAGCTCGGGACGAAGACTCGGCCTCCATGAGCTGGGTAGTTTTCTGAAAGTTCTTTACGTGAGGGTTCAAAAGTGTATCTTTTTTTTTCTTTTTTTTTTCTTTTTAGCCTAAATCAATAAACCTGGGCCAAGGGAACATTTCTTTGCCTTTTATCGACTGTCTATGACACACAAACACACACTCAATAAAAACAGAACACTCTTACATACAATTAAAATATACACATCATTCAGCAATAAAAAAATCTCTTCTCCGCTCACCTAACAACTGTAAAAATCTACTGTCCGTATTTTATGGTTTTCGTCTATAAGCTTGTAGAATAATAACAAGATTCAAGAATATTTTTATCAATAACTTTAATTCAATGAGCTTTTAGAGTTTATGGTACTGGTTTTGCAACTTTAAAGAGATTTTCCAATTTCAGTTTAGATGCGTTAATGTCATTTTTCGTAATTTCAATAAGAATTATTTTCTTTGTTTTCTCTTTTGCAATCTTGATAAAATCCTCAGCTGAACGACAAGCCAGCCCCTCCTCCCAACACTGTCGACCAAACCAGCCGTTTAACAGTACCTCCAATTCCATCAACAACTCCTTTACCGTGTGAAGTGACAAAAAAATTCCAACTTAAATTAATTTTATGTTCATGAGCAATCTGAACAAGATTACCAAAATGAAAATGTTGTTTGAATTGACCAGCTGCTCCATCAGAGAAAAAGTTTATTTCCTTCAGATTAGGAAGAACAGTATTAAGGTGATTTAAAATAATTTCCAAAGCTGAATTAACGACAAAGGAGTGGGGCGGATAAGGCCATTTTTCGGCCCTGAATATTTTTTGATGAAAACCATCGGATTAGAGGTTATTCGACATGCTGAACAAAATGGCGTTTACCGTTTTTCGAGATTCAGACTTTCGATGTTTTTGGAATAAGAACTACTCCGTCTTGGATTTCAATAATTTAACTGCCTCATCGACACAGCCACTAAATGCCTTCTTTTCAGCACGACCATTTTCATTCATCCATTGGAACCAATTAATTTTAGCGTTGCCGTCTGTTACATTATTTTCAACTTTTTCTGTAAAGAAATCTTCACAAAGTGGACTGAAACGTTTAGCAGCTGTAAATAAATTTATAAAATAAAATAAAATCTACGAGAAAAACGAAATTAAATTTAAAGGTGATTTCCTTATCATATTATCAACAGAATTAACACTACCTCGTATCAAATTTATATAACACATTCTTGTATTATGGTCACAAAATTAGGTTTTCCCAAAGTAATCAACAGGAGATGTTTGTTTTATAAAAACCTATAAATTGCAACATTAGTTATTATTAAAAACTCAATACAATGTTTCTAAATATTACATTTATTCTTGTAGGCCTTGTCGCAACATTATCCTGCCAGACGATTACACAGCGTATAGCGTACGTTAAACTACACGCTAATACCGATTACATATCAGGTAACGCAGCAGGTCTCAATCAAACATTATTTGCCAATAACCTTCGTTCTTGTGTCTATCAATGTCACGATAACGATTTTTGTCGTACAGCCGTATTCAATTTTGTAGAAAATACTTGCCTGTTGGTAGAAGAATATTCTTACGTTGGTCAGCTCATTCCCAGTTCGTCGTTAATTACTGTCATTAGTTTTAAACTGTGTCCAGATAATTATGCGGAACCAGAATACATTTGTTTCGGTACACCTCAAAAACCGCCAGTCACTGTCGCGTTTGCCCTTAATAACATGAAACTGGTAAAAAACATGACAAACATAACATCTGAGGCGTTTGAAATGACGAATAGTGGGGTGCATGTACTATCTGGAGGAACAGTTATATGTACAGCATTGATACGTATGATCAAATAAAATCAGTTGTTGTTCCTTCGAATTCAAAATCGCTCAGAATAGACATGATGAACAATTATTATGTATCTGGTGGTTCAAACGGCATCTCTGTTTATAACTCTGTAACAAATACATCAATGACTATTCCAGCAATGTATCCCTATTATCGTATGTGTATTGGTCAACACCATATTGTTGGTGTTACCTGGGCACCTAGCTATCCGCTGTTCGATGTTTATAACAAGTCAAATAGTCAAAAAATATTTAGTTATTCACCGACGACTAATCAGTCTCGAGACTGTGCCATTATCAACGATCAATTAATTATAACAGCTTCTAATGGGTTATTACAAACGATGGACCTGCGAAACAGTTCATCGGTACTCGTTCCATTAAGTTCAAATGCAAGCTCGTATATGCATAATGACAATACAATGTTTGTTGACGCTTCAGCGCGTTTATATGATCATCCATATGCCTCAATAACTGCCGTTGTCATAACCAGTAATGGTCAATTGTTGGCAACCTATTCAACAAGCCGTACAATAAGCGCAAAAGCATCCAAATATAAATACTACTTTTTAGCCGCGTCACATGCATCTCCACTTGCTATTTATGAATATTGATGGTGCATATTTCGATACAAAATAAAATAAATAAAATGCACAAGTTGTTGACTTTCCAAAGAATTTATTGAGTAAATTGTTTTTCAAAAGATTTTATTTACTTATATACCAGCCTAGTTCGAGCCGAATTTTTATTTAGTTTTCGTCCTTTAATTTCTTTCGTCTTGTCAAATACCTGAGAAAAATAAAATACTGGAACGTCCAGTTCAAATTGTGCAGCGTCTGAATACGTGCGGCTCTTATAAATTGGTGGTGGTGACCAGAGACATTATAAATAATTAATCGGCTCATCTCATTCTCAAGAACTCCGACAAAGTTTCGGTGATCAATATTCAACAAGATGCATTAGAAGAGAGTCACGGGTACATTTTACGAAAATTATGTGAAATAGCGTTGTATGTCAAACATAATTAATGCATCAAATTCTTTCCCAGATCCACCACAAGGTGAACAGGAAACATCCTTTAGTCCATTCTGGCAAGCAGTACATCCACCACCAATGCAAAGATAGCATACTACTTTTGTTTTTCCACTACCATTACAAGATGTGCACGCCACATTTCTTATTATCATAACATTTCCCATGGCTTATTAGCATTCTCGGATGGTGAATGAGTATGCTAACAAAACCGCAGAGAAATGAAAGCTATCAGTTGGTCTGAGAATTTTTGTTTATTCTGAATAAGAAATATAACATCACCTAAATCGATAGTGAAGGGCTACTGATTCTTTTGATATCATCATTAAGATAAAAAAGATGCAAGTCTTACGACTCTGCTTCTTGGACAACATAAGTACTCACCCCGGTTGACAATGAGGCTTATATACCTAAAGTTTACGAAGTTTATTTGAGTTGTTGTGCTATTCTTATTTATAAATACAAAATGACGTATTAATGAAGACAGAAATCATTTCGTTTCTCTTTTATTGCTTCTTTTGTCCGCTTTTTTCTACACAACTGAAAACCAGTGGCAGTATTTGGAGAGAACAAAGTGGACCAGGAAGCGGTATCCTTTATGATTTAGGGTCACACTTGATTGATCAAGCTTTATGCCTATTTGGACATCCAAAAACAATTTCAGCTGATGTACGAAAACAACGTTTAAATGCACAATCTGATGATTATTTTGACATTAGATTAGAATATGGTGAACTTATGTTGTGTAGCGGATTAAATGCTCGTTCGAATGGTATAAAACTAAAGATTCGGGATAATCTATTCGGGAAACGTCTTCAGAATTACAAGTAAGTGTACGGTTAATTATCCGATTTTTAAAACGTAACTAATTTTAAAAGGAATTCGTTTGAATACCAAAAACCGAATTTGAAAAAGTGTACTTATACCCAAATGTAGTTTCGACTCGATCTATCGATAAAATAATACTTTGTTTAGCTACTTTCTTCCGTGAGATAATGCGTTTGCAAAGGTTTTTTTTCTACTGCACGATCAATTTTTCTACACCGTTACATCTTATAAACACGTCGTTTTGCTGTACAATCTCGCGGTCTTTTTCCTCTCACGCTATACCAACTACAGTAGTAGTAGTAATATCAGAAAATTGTTCCCTTTGTTTATGTCATATATTCGAATCACGATCATTGATCTAACGTTATATCAACCAACACGACGACTGCTCAAACTAACAGATGCGTTTGGACAATATGTCTGATTTGGACAAAAACCTTCAATACCTGATCGACCGCAACCCAGTGTCTCAAATTGTGTAGGCGGTCTATTTAGACATTGAGCATTAGTCAGACAAGATCCTTGTTATGGGAGATCTATAAAATTCTTCTATTATTTGCTTGGGATATAGATAAGAAGCAATAAACGTTGAGTTTTGACATAAATCGTCTTCTATTGAGCAGGCTGGTTTAAAGGTCCATTCAAACTGATCCACTCTAGGTGAACATTGCAAACATCGATAAGGCCAACTGCTATAATCATTAGCCGAATAACATTGATGATTTATATAACAGTAGTCGGACAATATTGTACAATTTTTATGTATTGTACTGCAAAGTGAATCACATGTTTGATTGAAGGGTTAATTGTGAGCGGAATCAAGTTATTGACTGAATTGTGCTAAAAGCAGGAGTAGGAGATTACGAAGCAGACAATATTTTACTCGGACTTTTCTTCGAGAACACGATGAAGTCGCTACTTTCGATGTTAGTTGTTATTTGAGCAAAAGCGAATTAGAAGCTCGCACGTTTAGGCATTCTAGCGTTCAAGATTCTCTATCTATTAAAGTTTTCAAAATTTTGTGAAAATGCTCCATTCTCATACAGTATGGCTTTAACGTACAGCAAAGAAGCGTTTAGAACGTATCCGGCATAGGTCACTGTATAAGAATGAGACCATATCAAGCTGTCGGGTTCGATATAAATTGAAGAAAAATGTTGGTTCTGTTTATATAAAAATTTGAGCGCTTTATCTTGTATGGTTTGCCGAGAGATGAGAACACAAAGTTGTCAATATGAGAGATGTCGCATCTTACAAAAGTGAGTCGAAATTTTAAAGTGCTCATTTCTCAGCAACTAACCAATATTTGAAATATTGGTTGGTGTTCAGAAACTGGCGTGTTCCGTTTGAAAGTTTCAAACGGAACACGCCATTTTACTCAGAAATGCCTGTATTCTTTTTATGACTGGTTTGAACTAGTTTTGTGACGTACGTTTGAGCGGTGTCTGTTGTTGCTTACACAACATGGCTCTTAGCAAGATAAGATAAATCTAGGAAATGAAAGAGTACGATTTAATATACAAAAAGCTCTTCAAAATTACATATCCCGCAGCCCTCAGCAATTTTGTTTCATTGAGTTATGGCTTTTACACCAGAAGCCTCACAAGCAGAATTCGCAGCAACGTTATGAAAAAGAAGAGCTGCAACAGACTGATTATCGGCCTGAAGCTGTAGCGTAAAAGTCAGAACTCAAAGAGAAAAGATTGCTGAGGGCTGCGGAATATGTAATTTTGAAGAAAAATCTTTGCTCTTACTGAACGATGACAAAAATTTTTGTATTAGGTTTTAAAAGCAGGATTTTGGCGACAACTGTTTTTCTAAGCAGGTGAAAGTTAAGTTGAAATTTTTGAATAATATTTATACACACATCGAAGTCAGGGCTGTACAAACCTAATCTCAGATTTATTGTAGCTACTAGGGTTCACGAGAAAGAGCAAAAACAACTTTGTCTCTAAAATTTTCTCCATACTTCATATTACAAATTGACTAGAGAAAAGAGTTGAATGAAATATAGTGAAGAGGGTCAGTTGATTACATTGAACTGGTATATATCGCAGGTTCATGTCTTAGTTTATTGATTGTAGACAACAGATGTGGAATAAAATTAACGAAAGTAAATGTCAATTATTGTTAATAAGCATAAGAGAAATAGCGTATAAAAGGGAGAAATCATTTTAACTATCGTTCGAAAATATCAAAGGCTTTACTTCCACTTTTAGTCGTATTCTTTTCTTATTGTGTTGTACATTTTTTCTGGAATTTACACAATATCGTACGATGAGACAGCGGTAACTCCTCAACAAATAAAAACGACCATGAGAGCTGCTGGTAGAATCATATCCGATGCTGATCAATTTTTTGATACTTACACTTCAACAATCATTCAGAATGTATCCGGTACGTACCAACTACCTAATGGGTATTTATTTACGATATTATTACCCGCTTTTGGGCATTCCACGGAAGGCTCGTCGTTCCAACGTGAGTTAACTTTTCAGCCGAGTAACTCGTCCATTGGACGAGGTGGCTGAGGTGCGAAACAATTTTGGAAAGAAAGTGGTGGTTTTTCTTATTTAAAATAAATTTCAATCGGCTAAAAGGTCGATGAGAAAAGGCTAAATTACGTTTAAAATTAAGCACAACACTCGAATTCAGGATTTTATTCGTTTTGGGGAAATCCTGAGATACTCCTAAAGATTCTCTCTAAACTCCCTTGGGAATCCATTAGGTGACTCCCTGAGGATTTTTCCAGAGAAAGTGGACTAGCACATGAATTTCCCAACAGCTACAGAACTTTTCTTCTTTTATGAAGTGAAAATAATGGATACAGAAAACTGTTCCCTTCCACACAAAACGAGGACTAACGTCGGTCTAAAACTTTTCGCCAAAAACCATCCATTCAAAAGGACTGGGCAACTGCAACTCCAGGGTTGAGGATGTTTTTGGTTTAGTTGCAGTTGAAGTTGAGATTTTAGTAGGTTGGAGTTGAGTTTTTAAATTTTTATTCTCAACTCCGTCTTGCATTTTTGGAAATATTCAATAGTTGCAAACTAATCTTCTAAACGACTAAGTGGCTGTATTCACGAGTAAATTCGGAGATTCTTTGCGCTTTCCTATCGGAAAAAGCTCAAAAACGTTCAGAATCGTACCGAAAAATCTTCCTTACTAAAGTGAAGCAACCGGAGTTGAACGGGAGTTGAGATTTTTGTACGGGGAGTTGGAGTTGGAGTCTAAAAATTTTGAGCGGGGTTGGAGTTGGAGTTGAAAGTCAGCGGAGTTGTCCAGCCCTGTCCATTCATCCTTGACAATTTTTCCAAAAGGCATGAATCTTTTGCGGGCAGCACAATAATTAAATATTGATCGAGTATTTGACGATATCCTAGAGGAAGTACTTGATTCGAAGAAAGCAAGGGCAGTTTCTTTCGTAAGTAAGACGTGTTTCTTATCATTTCTTAGAATAAATATAAACCATTCATTTTTTGCTCGGGAATATTCTGACTGGCAAGAAACTTTTTTCTGTTCTTTTAACGTGATCATTTATACTCCATATACAACAGACATGTGTTTTACATTTGAATTATAAAACACATTTCTTTGCTTGTTCTCGCATTCTTAAACGAAAAGCAGAAATAGTGAAGGATGATAAGTCATTTTTTTTCTACGTGTCGGAGTAAGTGTGTAAAAAGAAATGTTCGATCTGCGTTCAAAATACTGCCCATAAGTCGCTCATTTTTCATGTAAATTTAATTTTTGTATCATTCGACTAACGGAGACTCTCTGCTGGAACAACATGAACAGAAAAATCTTTTAAATGTTTGTTCTTTCTTACACTGAATTAATTGGGAAAAGTTATTAGAGGAAAAAGACCGCTCTATTTAGGCGCAGCGCCTACATGAAGATTTACTCGGGTTTTTTCAGTTTTAATGTATATTTTTCTCGGTAAGATTATTAAAAAAATTAACTAGTTGATAACGCAAATACACAGCTACATCTGGGACAGAGGTAGGCAAGTCCAAGTCCGGATTTGAAGGTGCTTTTGATGGACTCGGAATCTGATGCCTAATTTATTAAGGGTAGCAAGTGTTTGACAAAAAAAAAGATGAATAAATATTAATCTCTTTTTTGTCAGACATGCATCAACGTATAGATAAAATTTATCGGAATAGCTGTTGGCACCTTCAGAGGTAGCGCCAAGACGCTATTGCCACTTCTACGCATAGTACTATGTTAGATGTATCGAATGTTTCATAATTATTTATATACACGAAGAAGATAGTGCCCGGAGTTATCCGGATTAATTTATTTTGACATAAATGCTAGGATAAATGAATCAAAATGAGAATATACAAAAAATCGAAAATGTGTACAGCACCCCTGAGTAGAATATCCTGACTTAAATCTTGACAATTGTAAGTGCTAATCACTCCATATTTTGTGGACGATTAATGCTAATCATATACCTTCATCTGACCATATTTGGTTACATCGTTCGAAAGATATGAATTTTTTCAATATTAAAGTAAAACTATTATAATAAAGAGCATGATAAAAGCTGCATTCTGTCATTAGTATGTAGCCATATTCAATGGCTATGGTTGACTTCTTGTTCATGTTTTGTTCTGGCAGTACTTAGTAACATAACAAAACATGAACAAGAAGTCAACCTTAGCCATTGAATATGGCTACATAATAATGACAGAATGCAGTTATTATCATGCTCTTTATTATAATAGTTTTACTTTAAATACAGAAAAACTTCATATCTTTCGAACGATGTAACCAAATATGGTCAGATGAAGGTATATCTATATCATTAGCATTAATCGTCCACAAAATATGAAGTGATTAGCACTTACAATTGTCAAGATTTAAGTCAGGGTGTTCTGCTCAGGGGTATTATATGTATAGAAAACAATAAAAAGAAATAAAATCAACTATGCAAAAATCAACAATACAGAAAATAATTATTATATTAATATATGACTTCATTCTAATCGTCATTTATTTCTATTTGATTATTAATATTTTCATTATGATGTGGGTGATGAATGTTCTTTTCTATAACACTCATACACCTTTTATGAACAACATCTTTCGTTAATTGACGTTTAGCTTCTTTAATAACACCAGTGTTCATATCAAAATCGAATTCATCCATTTTATATGCTATTTTACATGCTTCTAAATAAATATGATCACAATTTTATTTTAATAGTATAAAGTTGTACTGCTTAAATTTTGGATGAAAATTGGTTGTTTGCACAGTCAAGTAGT